GTTGGGGATTCTGAACCTGGGGTTTTCTCTTCGCGTCAGATAAACAAGGCAAGAGATGATTTTCGGCCGAAGAAAATGCTTTCTTATGTCCTACAAATGGCCTTGACACCCATGACTGACCAGCATTGGACGATTGATTTTATCAAGAACAAGTACACAGTTTTAGCATGCAGGAAAGCACTTTTTGAGGAGTTTGATGAAACATATGCACAGGCCTTTGGAAGTGTACCGGATCGCCCTCCTCGGCCCAGTAGACCAATAGCTGTGGATCCATCTAAAGGTAACTTTTTATGAGAATACATATGAGGATGCTTTCCCCATAATTGTATGGTTTTATGCCCTGTGAGTCTCTTTGCCCTTAAGCTTTTGTGTCTTATTAATCCGTGAAAGAGGCCTTTATCATATTTGTTAAGTTGGCATTGTAATACCATAAGAGGCAAGGCATGTACTGTGTACCTTCGTGGGTGAGATGAAATCATGGCGTCATGTATATTGGAACTTATATTGAAAGAGACTTATGGTTTTGTCTATTTAAGTAAGTATGCAAAATGTATTGGATACTACAAAAGGGAAAACTGTAAGGGTTCATTTTTCTGCTTTTGAGGGTCATGTGATTCGAGGAAGTGGTTAACAATGGCTATGTATGAGTATTGTGGATGTGGGGCTGCTGATGGTATCTAAATTTTTCACGTTCACCGGTTTAGTTTTGTAATGTCATTTAGAAAGCCATTTTGCTGCATATATGTAGCTGGAAACTGGATATATACTCATGCACCTTCATCAGTTGTAATTTTACGTATGTATAACTGGAACTACCACTATTTCTATGATCATTTCCTATGTATTAATAAAGAACTACTACAGCATTGACCATAGTCTTCACGATAGTGCTTTTGACTCTTTACTGCTTTCCATTTTTAAGGTGTATTTTCCTGTTTAGTGTTTTTACCATATTTATTTTGTATTCAATTTTTTATTGTTGTTCTGGGTGACATAAATATTTTCGCTTTACGAATCAATGAAAACTAGAACATTATGAAGCACAGACCCGGTTTGTGGGTCATTGCCTTTTCCAGTCTCAAAAAGAAAAAAATAATAACTAAAGATCTGCTTAAACTTGGATAGGGCAACTATTTTTTAGGTACCAAATTTAGTGCAGCTCACGGAATTGTTAATTATACTTGCATTGTTGTCTTGAAGGAACAGTCATTGATAGGTATATTTATCTTTGTGATTCTTTTGGAAACTAACTCTTAGAATTAA